TGGATATAACCCTGTATCAGCTGATGCAGAGACTTGTCTGAACAGGTGTAGGGATTCAAACCATTTATGTCTATGAATATGTGTGACCAGGTCGAGGTCTTTTTTGACTCATCCTTGTATTTAGTTCCATTGGGTTCATGTCGTCTTAGTGCAGACAATTCATACTTCAGTCCTGCGCTGTGAGTGTCGTCGTCGTTGGCGAGTCCTGGTCGCCTCGTCAATATTGAAGTATCTACTGTATATGATCCTTGTATTTGTGTGGTGTTTTTGTCAGACTTTTTGGTCTTACACATTTTTCCAGTTGAACCTTTTCATCCTCTTATGAATATTTAAGAAAACAGAGGAGGTGTGGAGTTTAAATCACAGGGTGACTAAAGCCTGAAGCCTAATCACCTTTTTACATCTGTGTTATATGCTAAACAGGAGTGTGTCTGTGTGAACCACGCAGTAGTCGCCCCCCCGCCCCCCTCCTTTACTGTCAGTCTCACTTCAACCTCTCAGGTTGCTCAGGTACAGAGGCAGAGTGTGGGTGGAAACACGGTGCTTCCTGACAGAGTGTGCAGAGCTGAGAAGAAGAAGATCTGAGTTCTCCGCTGGCTCCACTGCTTTAAGGAGGCCTGAAGAGGAACAAACCTGCGATGGATCAACGTGAATATGGAAATCAGTGTGTGTGTGTGTGTGTGTGGTGCCTGCGAGGTGTCAGAGGTCGGCAGCACGCCACTGACCGCACGTTGTTGACCACGGTTGATTGTTCACAGGTTCATTATGGAGGATTTATGGGGGGAAGCACAAGAAGTTAAGGACTTATAAAATGTAGTTTTTTAAGTTGACGTCCAAGTTTCTTTTCAAAGTTTTTCATTTATTTTGAAGAACCTTGAATCCTCTTTAATAGAACAGTAAATTTATTTACTTTCTGAGACCAAGACAGGGCTTCATTTATGTGATGCTTTTTATTATTTTATATGCATAAAATAACTTTTAGTTTCTGACCACAGAGTGAGTGTAGAAATATGTGTCCATTTCTTGAAGCTCTCTCTCTCTCTCTCTGTCTCTGTCTCTCTGTCTCTCTGTCTCTGTGTTTTGATGTTTGTCTCCTGTCTTGTAATTCTTCAAGTGTCCGACCACAAATGAAAACCAACCATAGACTGAAAGATAATAAGAGAAACATCAAAGCTCTGGGTGCGGGGCGTGCAGCAAATGTTGCTCCAGTTTGAACCCTAATTGGTGATCAGCTGCCAAAGGGCATTAAGCCTATGTGGTGCACATCCCACAAGCCTTCACTCTCTTATTAGTACTCCTCCAATGAACATTGCTCAGAATTCAAAAATGCTGTTTTTTTTTTTAGTGTAAAGACCAGACAAAGCACCGACTGAGAAGAGAGCTCACATTTTCTATTATTTTATTATCCGTGCAACACATTTTTGTTGAGATTTTGATGGAATGTAAAAAAAAAACATTAATGCAGTTCAGTTCAAGTGTCTGCAAGAACCAATGTGGACAAAACAGTTTCAGTTACACAGCAGTGCATCTCCTCCAGAGTTATGCAAATGTGCAAAAAAAAAAAAAATCACACACTTGTCTTGACTCATGGAAGGTCATGGGGTCACAACCTGTTGCTAAATTTTGATTGGTCGATCCTAAAATACATACAAATTTTAAGAAGATGCAAGACATGCGTCCAGCTTCATTTTCTTCCTTTATTATTAGCAGTTTTTTTGTCGACTGCTACATGAGCTCGGCTATTTTATGTTACGTTAGCACAAAATGCTAATACGGAGCTACACCTCCTCCTCCCTCTGGGGGCTTCTCTCTGTTACGGACTGGACAGTGAGACGCTGGTCACTGTACTCTGGCCTGTTTGTTTCGGTGTGTGTTGTCTGTGTTGTGTGATGGTTCACTTTTTGGACAGCACTAAAGTCGATTCATTATGTCTTATAGAACCTGACGTTAGCTCAGGGTAACTCATAATTTGGGATGACCTGAGCCGATGCTCAGGATCCGATACCGAAGTCCACAACTCAACTCAACTCAGTGGTAAATGTTGTATGAAATGGTATCGGATTGATATCAGTACCAGCAGATACTCCAAGTATCAGACATGATAAAGTTCTATTGAACCATCCCTACTAATGACACCAGAAAAAAAACTCTCCTCTTTTACACCATGTGATTTAGACCAGTTCTTCTTGAGAACCGTTGGTTCTTAGCTTGTTGATTCACTCTTGACTCTGAGTGGAGCTGAGAGATCGTTGTTTCCTAATGTTCAACCTCCACCTGTGCCTCCCTCTCTCCCTCTCCCTCTCTCCCTCTCTCTCCCCTCTCTCTCCGGCGCTCTTTGGTTCGGCGTAAACCACTGTTAGTTTTTGGACACTTTTTTTTTTTTCTGTTTAAGCTGCGCGGCACCAAGAAAAGCTCTCGTGGCTGAACCAAAGACCTTGACTGTTTTTTTGAAGCAAGCTGTCGCTGTATAATCGCTTAGCTTCTCTCAGAGGAAGGGCAACACACACACACACACACTCCTACACCTTCACATACACACATACACACATACGGGGTGTAAGAGGAAAGCAGCCCCTCATTACCAGGCAGAGCCCTGGTCCCAGAGGACTGGACCCAGCACCTAATCCTGTATTTGTTCTTGGGGACTGTATCTGTGATTCTCCATTGAATGGAATATTAAGCACCCAGGTCTTTTGTGGAGCGTGTAAGCCATTTGGCTCCACTCATCTATTATTTATCAGCCTGGCAAATATTTTATCAGCCTTACCCTCTCATGACCCACTCTTATGTGAAACCCCCCCCCTCCTCCTCCTCACCCCCCTCTCACTTTTAAATGAAGAAACCAGTACACTTTGCTCTTCTTCTTTTTTTTCCCTCCACCATTTATCTCTCCCCTCTTTACTTTTTGCCTCATTTGTTTTCCAACCTGAACAAGGACACGGGGCTTTAGCATGGGAGCTAAATGATGGGAGCAAATATGTGAAGCCTTCCCCCCGGCTCTGCCCTCCAACTTTACCTTATCTGAAGACAACCGCCACCTTCATGGCTTTGGAGATGAGAGCCCATAAAAGAAAACAGGAATCAGGAGTTCACTTTGTAAATCATTATCTCAGTTTCACTGACCTTCCCTCCCCCTCGCACTCCTCCTTTCTCAGCCATCTCCCTCCAAAAACAGCCACCCAGTCTGAGAAGAAGAGGGGAGAGAGAGGGAGATAAAGATGAGAAAACACACACTCACACTCACACACTCACACACTCACACACTATCCCTTTCCCAAACCCCAAAAATCATGCCAATTGAAAGACTCACCTTGACGTCTGCTGGAGATAATTGGAGTTGGTTTGCGAGCTGTTCTGTGCCGTTACCTCCTGGTACCAGTGAATGGTCGCGGCTCGGCTCACACTCCCACAGGACAAACACACTCGCCTGTTGGCTCTCTCCGCTAAATGTGTGTGTGTTCGTTCATGTGTGTGTAACGTCAGCGCTCTGCGACACTCCGAGGTGTGTGTTGTGTTGTGTTGTGTTGTGTTGGTTTTGATGGCGTTTTCTACAAGTGCTTCACTTTCGGCCATTAATATTCATTGCATTGATTTATTTTCAAAATTATCGCGTCCCCAAAAAAAAACCAAACCCCAAACCCAGCAGACTGAGGTGGGATTCATCGTGACAGGACCGAGTCGTGGTGGTGTTTTATGTGCAGCGTGTGCAGATGCACAGAGCGAGACACCAATTAAATCTTGATTAAGGCCTAACTACTGTGGGACTGGATCACAAAGACACAATAAAAACGCAGTCTTTTTCTGTCGGACGAGAAAAATGAAGGTAGTTAAACACACACACACACACAGAGAGAGAGAGAGAGAGAGAGAGAGAGAGAGAGAGAGAGCCAGGCCAACACACACACTTTCTTGTCGGGAACATTTCAGATGTCCAGGCTTGATGTTTGTGCCGATTGTGACGGGTGGAGCTTCCCCCTAGTGTGTGTCCGCTTCACACATCGACTGTGAAGCTGCAGCAGTATAACAGCGGCGGCTGCTCCGGGGTCCCGGCGGTATAGGCCTAGCCCGCGGTCTCTCTTGGCTAACTCATGTTTCATTCTTTGGCAATTTGCCCTAATGAAGTCCCACAGGAGCCGCTCAGACCTCTGTTCTCTTTCCATATTTAATCATGTTATTTTAATCTGGGGGATGAGCTAAAGCCTCCTTCTCCTGCCTCCTGTGTGTGTGTGTGTGTGTGTGTTGCAGGTCATTACAGTTGCTGGATTGTTATGGGCGGCGGCGGCGGTGGCGGCGGCGGCGGGGGGTTTTTTTTTTTAAGACAATGACTTTAGTTTTATGTGTGCACTTGTCTTGACGTCTTAGAAAGCATCTCTAAGAGGAACGTCATCCTGGTGTCACCGCTCCGCTCCAATCTCATCTTTTCTCTCTAATTTCCGAGTCATGCCGGACTCGTTTTGATTTTTATGATTGCTGTCAGAGCCATTTTGGCTCCTTTTATTGCCTTTGTGCAGACAGTGGCACAGTTTCTTACTGCGACGCCGCCTTAAAAAGCATTTTTACACTTGATTTGTATCTGGGCTCTGAAGGCGTGTGTGGGGCGAAAGAAAAAAAAAAAGTGTGATAACAATTTAGAAAAACCTCAGGTTTATTTTTTTTTTTTTTTTTTTTTTTTTTTTTTTTTTTTGCTCATCAACCAAAGGTGTCGAGGTTTCACCTCCTCCTTCTCTGCTTTATATCTGTGATGAGGTTAAAGACGATCTCCTGTCAACTAAGTTGATCTTCAACTTTTACCCCCCCCCGCACTCCTCCCTCAGTATCGCGCAGGTTTTGAGCTCGGCATGTTTCAGTGCTCGCTGTGTTTCTGGGGGATTTTTGTTTGAGGAAGATTAAAGTTTGGCAACGTGTTTGTCAGGGAGAACTCAATGAAATCAAAGTGCGTCGGCAGAAAACGCCGCATCTGCCAGTTTGATCAGAATGAAAGAACGGTAATGACAGGCTCTTACCACAGACACTGTTTGGTTTTTCAGACAGAAACCTGCTCTCTGACAACATTTCCAATTAAAATGATTCCCGGATCATTGTTGACAAACACGGATCATGCTCTTTCCTGTTTCCCCTGCAGGGGGCGCTCAGTAAACATGAATTTACGGGTTAATAATTTACATTATTTTGACTGTAATAAATCTGATCCTGGGCCACACAGTGAAGGGAGAGGTCACGTGGTTCACGTGGTTCCGTCTCAGCTTCAGTTCTCAGTGGGTCGTTCTCCAGGTTTCCAGGAACCTGCAGGTGGCGCTCAGCATTTCAATCAAAATTGACCGCGGGCGTCATTGTGACTGTGAATGGTTCTATATGTTGCCTAGAGACCGTGACAAACTGCCTTCACGCAGCGTCAGCTCTGATTGGCTGCCATCCTCTCGACCCTAAAAAAAATTAGCGATAAAAAAAAAAAAAATGTGAGAAATAACATTTACCCACAAGTCCATGTAACCTTCCACCTGCTGGGTGCTGCGTGTAACCTGAGTCACAGTGGAGCAGTGGTAGCTGTACACCTCCAACAATTGAATTACATGATCATTTTGATACTTCACGACGTTTTAAAATGAAAACATCCGTCCTGGTACTTTTTGACTCACTCTCCTCTATTATTATGAAGAATGTTTTTTTTTTTTAACATTTGAAAACCTACAGTTGATGTTTTTTCTCGGTGGTGTCAAAGGTCATGTTGAGTGACCCCTAAACCTGTGTCCTTCCTCTAGTTAACTGCGTGTGTCCACGGTGCGGCCGCTCTGCTGTTTCCCATGTACTGGCAGCACATCTTCATCCCTGTGCTGCCTCCTCATCTTCTGGACTACTGCTGGTAAGGCTGAACACACACACACACACACACACACACACACACACACACACACACACACTGTTAATCGCCCAGCTCCTTGAAAGCCTTGCTGTACAACCGCAGATGCACATGTTCTCACATTCTCCCGCCCGGCCTCCGAGTCGTTCTCACGGTTCCTCCGGTGGTTGCACCTTCTCCTGTGTGGCCGCTCAGGGTAATGAACAGCCCAGATCACCTTGCTCCATATTTTATGCCCGTGCTAGCGCCGCGCTCTGGTCCTCCCGGCCCTCTCTGGGGTTCATTATCATCCATCCGACACAAATCCTACAAATGTGGACGGACTTGATTGGGAGCGGACGGAGAGCAGAAGTAATGGCTCATCTGCATATGGACAGGCATCCAGGTCAAGCTCACATCTGGGCGTCTTTCCAACCAAAACACACCGGCTGGAGGAGTCAGCACGGTGTGAAGAATGTGTGTTTGCATTAGCGGCGCCGCTAGCAGCGAGGAGCTGTTCACGGCTAAATGAGATTTTAACACTCTGTGAAGAGTCATCGTCCAATCACAGAGGTGATCTCCACGCACTGATGAGACGATGAGATAGTGGTACATATGGTCTGTGTGTGTGTGTGTGTGTGTGTGTGTGTGTGTGTGTGTGTCTGCACATTCTATAAATCAGGAGTGAACATGTGTAGAAGGATGAAAAAAGACAACAGAGCAGAGCTGCAGGCCTGATGCTGCTGCTGCTGCTGCTGCTTTTACTGCTGCTGCTGCTGCTACGGCTGCGGCTGCTGCTGCTGCTACTGTTACTGCTGCTGCTGGTGATGATGCTGTTACTGCTGCTGCTGGTGATGATGCTGTTACTGCTGCTGCTGGTGATGATGCTGTTACTGCTGCTGCTGATGCTGCTGATGCTGCTGTTACTGCTGTTGCTGCTGCTGCTGATGATGCTGCTGTTACTGCTGTTACTGCTGGTACTGCTGCTGCTGTTACTTTTACTGCTGCTGCTGCTGGTGCTGCTGCTGCTGCTGCTGGTACTGCTGCTGCTGTTACTGCTGGTACTGCTGCTGCTGTTACTTTTACTGCTGCTGCTGCTGGTTCTGCTGCTGCTGTTGATGCTGCTGCTGCTGCTGCCGCTGCTGCTGCTGCCGCTGCTGCTGCTGGTGCTGCTGTTAGTGCTGCTGCTGCTGCTGATGCTGCTGTTACTGCTGCTGGTACTGCTGCTGCTGTTACTGTTCCTGCTGCTGCTGCTGATGCTGCTGTTACTGCTGGTACTGCTGCTGCTGTTACTTTTACTGCTGCTGCTGCTGGTTCTGCTGCTGCTGTTGATGCTGCTGCTGTTGATGCTGCTGCTGCTGCTGCTGCCTGTGGCCTCTGAATCGTTCTTCAGACTCACACCGGCCCAGAACTATTTGAATGTTTCTGCTGATGTTTAACCTCATGGTAAAATCAGCTTCTGCCATTTGACTGTTTTGTTGATTTTATTTAGCCCTGATGGGATTTGACATTTTCTTGCCTCCAGCTTTTGGTTTGATGACAAATATGAGGAGAATATATTCGTTCAGCCTTGAAAGAAAACATGTGTAGCATCCGACTAAACTAATTAAGTGTCTCTTTTTTTTCTCTTTTTTTTTCTTCTTGCTGGTGGACAACGATGAATCATATTGTGAAAAAGCAGGTTTCTGACTGTCTGACTGGCATTTTGCCAGTTTAATATTTATTCATCAAACCAGTCCGTTCATTAATCAACTGTAACAAAAAAAAAAGGCAATACATTTTAGACAACAATTCATCATTAACTCCTGGTTTTCTTTCCATTCTCTTTTTTGTTCATTACAAAAAAAAACATACATTAAAGTTTAGCTCTTAAAATGTGACGTTTTCATTTATATGCAACATTTTTTTTTTCTTTAATGAAGTTGACATTGTTCTTCTGTCTCCCTCCACAGCGCCCCCATGCCGTACTTTGTGGGAGTTCACCTCAGTCTTCTGGAGGTACGTTAGTTCATCTACAGGGACATAAAAATGTTCATCTATATCAGTGTCCTTAATGATAATTTAATTATGTCTGATTTGACTCAGATGTATTTGAGGGCTCGTTCTCAGCAGCTTTTTTTTTTATCATTTGTCTGAGGGAAAAAATAAAAAATAATTTCCAAAAATTCATTTTTAAACAGACAAACAAACCTTTTCCTCAGAGTTAATTCCTTGAGCAGTAGCTCCATTGTTTCAGCCTCAG